TAAGATCAATAATCTATAAGTGTTTTTTTAAATATAATTTATGACATGGTCTTAAATGATTTTCAACCTATTTGAAGATATTTTAAGGAATAACTCATGAAAATATATTAACATGTTAAACTTTATTTTCTGAATAGAATCAGTAATTTGTACAAAAGCGAATTAATGAAAACTTAGTTAAAATGATTTAGCGAGATGATTTTTATGGCAGGCACTACTGTTGGCACTTGCTCCACACCCATGAACAATTGATATATAAGTTGGGGGTGGCGAGAGGATTGGCCAATCACACTTTACAATTGTTATTGATTGATAAACAACTGTCCTCAAACACAGTTAGATATATATTATTTATAAAATTTTGAACTTGTTGTAATGGTTTCCACCATCAATTTTAGAAAAACCACTTCCGTGGAGGGCATTAATCATGCTTTCTTTTGTTGTTGTTGTTGATTGAAGTGACGCCGATATTATCATTAAGATCACCCGGATCGTAATTATGGCCCACCAATTGTGCTTATGGTAAATTTAACCAATGAAATAATGAACCAAAATGTTTAATAAGATTATTGATAGACATGATCCTATCGTATTAGAACCCATTAACTTTTTAATCATCTTTCTTTCCCTTTGCAACCATTACTTTGGAAGCATCCATAAAGGATTAAAAGATAACCTCAATGTGACTTAGATTTCAAGTTGGAAATCCTTTTTATAGATATGTTTCAAGTGCTTTTTTAAGCACCCCTAAACAATGTGCGTGACTCAATTAGCCCCTCCATGTATTCCAAGTGACATTACCTACTTCTTTTTAAAACTATTACTTTCCCTATTTAAAAACCATTTTGTTGGATATTTTGTGGGGTGGAGTTAGCTTTAAGTATATCTATCTCTCTCATATAATTAACAAAATAAACAATCTATATAATCTAATTAACCCCAAAGGTAATCAATCCTCTAGAATTAAATCAGATGGTGAAGAATGTCTACATTTATAACCAAGAAAACAAGAAAAACTTAATTTGAAAACCCCTTGCACTTTTTATGAGTTTTAAATATGCATTTAAAGTTTTGGAGAATGAAGTTTTTGATGGATGAGAGGGAACTGTTGTAGTCAATCAATGAGACATGAACAAGTGCGTGGTTTGCTGATAAAGTGACCAACATTCACACCACTATTTATGCTAATGCAATATGCCACTCACATAACATATAACCCAAAGCCATCCATGCTTAGGGAACATCTGCACGTGACATTTTTGACAAAATCTAACATTAATTATCACCCATACGCATAATAATTTTCTTAGTTCCACATGCCCACTAAACTGTTTGCACCACTCCAGATTATCTTCCCATTCATCACTTACCAAATACCAATTTCTGCTTAACTTTCTTTTTCTATGATTGGAATGTTTTTTAATCTACATATCTTCATTCTCAATCCTAGATTCTGCATGTTCATTCCCCCCCACTTTTGCCAAACATAAGACAACTTTCATTTTTCTTGAACTCTTGTCTTTCCTGTAAAGAGAAATGTTGCTTCAGATTCCTATATTAAAACTAATATACAATAACAATAAAGTTAAATATATATATATATATATATATATATATATATATATATATATATATATATAAAATTAGAAGACGGTGACTTAAACGGTGCTGGAATCTTGCTATGCTTCGACTATTGTTGACCAATACGATAAAAATATATGTTATCTAAATTCAAATCACGCCTTAATGATTATTCAGGTCTCCTTCATGTATATTTTTCAATTGCATGCGAAGGAAAATAGAGAATATAGATTGATATGTGTGAAGAGAAAACTCATTATATAAACAACACACATAAAAATAAAAAATTGATGTATTAAGCTACCACATAGGTACGACAATCCGATAATTAATTGCTAAGAAAACTGTCCACGAAACCCTCGCGCGTAAACACTCTGCATTAGATTCTCGTACCTTGAACCAAGAGGAACCTAGTTGAGTAAATCCAAGACTGGTGGGTTACCCAAAATAAATTTGGGTTTGAATTCGTGTAATAAACCAATCAAGAATTATTAGTATTGAATATATCATAAAATTATAACTTTTCAACAATTTTTTTTACTTAAACATAACATTACTTTTGATTAATCTTATTAACCGATGAAGATGCTAGGGTTTGATGTGAAAGAATAAAATACCCTGAAAAAATGATTCCTAAAATTTGGGGAATATCATGTATGTTAATGGGAAAAAAAATTATATATATCCCTGCACCAAAAAAAAGTTAATATGTTAAATTTGATTCCACAACTTAATGTTTAGATATAAAAAGTCTAATGTTTGTTTTTGGTTTTATTTTAGTGATTCTACTGTGAAAATACATTATATGTGTGATCCTTGTGTTCTATAGATTAAAAAAACGATTTTTTATGACACATCATCATAAAATTAATTTTAACCTATTGATAACTTCATAGTTGGGAACAACAAACGTGCTACTATATCAATAACAAAATATTTCATGTGCAACCATGTAAGGCTATTATTAAAGGTTTGGAATAGGTATAACACATTACTATTTTGTAGTCTAATTATTCTAAAAAAAAAACTCAACTTTAACCATTTTAAAATAACAATATAAAGAAGTATCTCAAATTCAACATTTAAATTAATAAAAAAATGAAATAGGTAAGAGGAGAAATAATTCTTTCGAAATTAAATTTTGAGTGATTTGATGAAATGTAAATTTGTATATGTTACGTGCTATTACTAAAATATCTAATCAAACTGTGAAAAAAATGAGGAAAATTATGGAAGTGAAGCGTTGGTTAGGAATAAAAGGTGGAAAATTAGTAAAGTAAAAGGGAAGTAGGAGAGTGTAAAAGAAAGCTTGTTTGATTAGGTTTGAAATGTATTGTTTGGAGGTTAATGAAATGATGGCAATAGCATCTTATACACACTCCTTAACGCCTTGTTGGGAGTCAAACGGTAAGGAAAACAACATTTTTTGTTTTATAGGTACCTTGTTCTTGTCAAAACTATCTAAATGGTAATCAATATTAGGTCCTGTTTGGTACAGGAAAGTATAATAGAAGGTACTTGATTGAAAAAAAATAAAAAACAATTCAATGAATCCTACAGTGTTTAATAATATATTAGGATTACTATTTTATTAAATAAATGGCTATATAATTTATTTTTTAAATATGATTCATTTATCTTATTTACACAATATTTTATTAGTTTTTAATGTCTTTATTTAAAAGATAATTAATAAAAACTTTGGACAAATATTATATTTTTTTATGATTTTTATTGTAGAGATAATTAACTTATTTTGAGGTAAAATATTTGAGTTTCATTATTTTTTTTTTCAAACAGTCTTTTTATTTTACAATCCATAATTTAAAGATTATAAATAATTACATTTGCAATCAATTAACTATATTAATCTCTGTTTTAATTATAAGTTGATTTGAGAATTAAAAGTTATCTATTAATCTTTATTAATGGGACACATTTTTTCTCATAAATATAAAAGATCAACATTTTGTGATGCCTCAACAAATTATCTCGTTCTACCACTATTCTTATTTTTTCTATTTTTATTTTTCTCATATTAACCAAACAACTAGCATTTTTTTCTGCTCCTACACTTTTCAACAACCTAAACAAATTATTCTTTGATGATGCTTAGCTGACTAATGTCATAAACATAAATCATTCAGATTTAGTATATTTTGTTCACACAATTAATAATTTCTTATAAAAAAATGTTTAATCTGTAAACTAATTTTAATTACAATCTATGAAAACTTTAATAACACATGATTTCCCAATTGTAATTTTAGATTTAAAAATATATATTTAATTTATCGTCTAAGTAAATATATTCTTCAAATTTACTTTTGGTTATTTTGAAAATACATAATTATAAATATTTTATATAAATTTAATTACATATTTTATAAATTGTTTAATTTTTATTTCTCACCGTAGGTTAAAAGCCTCACTCCATCATCTCTACACACACATAATTCCAGTATTGATAATAAAATAAAAAATTAAATAAATAAACCTCTTGTGTATACCATTTTTTCTTAAATAGCAAAGAGCCCAACTAAAAATAATATAAGCCCAAACTATATCTCCTGCTATATGTCTTTAAGAATGATGTTTTAAAAAAAATTATTAGTTGAGATTATAAAGTTCGTGTCTTTGACAGAAATATGTTTATTAAGATTTAGAATAAATTTGTGAATTTGTTGAAGGTTTGAAGTGATATAATAATTGAAAGTTAGAAACAAGAATTAATAATTCCTTAATTTTAAAATAATAAATATTATGAATTGAGAAACTAAAAAAGACATACAATATGAAGTTTATACCATAATTAAGTCAAAGCAAAATACGTGGCATCTTAACATATCGATATCTATGCAGCAAGGCGAAAAATAAGATTTTACATGTTAAAATACTAATAAATATCATGTATATAGTATGGCATTTATAAATATACAAGAAATGTAAAAACAAATATATATATATATATATATATATATATATATATATATATATATATATACAAAAATTCTTTAAAATTATATTAGAATGACAAACACGTATATGTTAAAGCAGAAAAAAAAAAAAAAAAGAGAGACTGGAATCATTTCAAAACCATAAATATAACTAATAAAAAATTAATAATTTAACATACATGATAATATATGAATACTTGGTAGTGTGAAGCATATGCTGCATTCTAATTCTAATCAGAACAAAGATATACACAATGTTTTATAAGCAGAACAAAGATGAAGTAACATACAAGAATGAATATATCATTACAAATGACAATATCAAAATTATAAGTGTTGAGGATAGGATTCTACAAGGAAATTGGATGGTGTGGGTCTTGTTTGTTTGTTGGAGTACAAAAATATAGGAAACAGTAAAACATATACTGTATACCTTCGAATGCATCACATACAATGAACAGATTAACCAACTTGTCGGGAACCAAGCAAAGGAAAATCATTCCAGACATAAACTGCAACTGCAACTGCAACCGCAACCCAAGCTGATTGACTGAGACAAGCAAAACCAAGGTTACTAAGTAAAATATTAACCCAACCTCTTATCAGAACCCCTAAGATTCAAGTTAAACCATTTCTTTTTGCCTGACTTGTCCTTCCCATCTGATCCTCCATCTTCCCCAGGGCTCTCTTCACCAGTCAGTTTGCTAGAACTCCCATTGCTCAAATTACTACCATTTCCACTAATATTGGTTGACTTCACAATAGTGAAGGAAGAATGGATACCATCTCTTTGTTTCAGAAGCTCGTCTACCTGCATACCAAAAGGTAAAAAAGACGTAATAAAAAACAACTTTTAATTTATTCACTTCACATATTTTTCACCAATAACAGCAAGAGCATCACTTTATTTTCTATTTAAAAAACTTAAAGAAAATGGTGAAATCAACTAAACCATGTTTTCCACAATTTCCTCAAAACTAGAAGAATGTGATAACAAAATATGAGTGAATAAATGCACAAAAAATTAAACTAATCCAAACCGAACACGATCTTGCAGTCTCCACACCATGTCACAAAATGAAAGCAATCGGAAATAACATTTTATTGGAAAGCATAACCTCCCAAAAAGTTTACAATTCCTCAATAAACAACTTCAAGTCATGTTATAGACATAAACCCTGCATTCGTGGGCATGCACCCAAAGAGCATCTTATGCATTTAGGACGAGAGTAGGAGTTCTTTAACCCCACGTGGGAGCATCAACCAAGGTTGTCAAACTCTCGCTTTGGGTTGAAATCAAATGTATTCATATTTAATTAGAACTCAAATTATTTGAAGAAATTAACTCCTTTTTTAATTGTTTTCACATTAAGACTTTATGTTTTATGAATTTTATACATGATTTAGTTGTTTATGTAGTTTAATCTTATTTAGCACTAAAGCACTATCATCTTTATGATTGAGTTGCTACTTTTCATTAGTATGAAGTGGAAATATTGAATTATTGTTGTATTAAGAGTATTATGTTATGTATGTATGTATGTCTTTCGAGTTTATGAGTTCACTTTGAGTCTACGAAAGCTCCACAAGTTTATCTAGACTCTTTTAAGTTTGACAATCATGGCATCAAAGACTAAGTGATAGAGCCGCTAGTTGCCCAGAAACTATAATTGCCTCCAAGGTCTGAGTGGGACTGGAATTTATTCATATGCTTAATGCTTCAAGCTCCAGTGACTAGAATTTGAATCTTATCCCAATGTTGATAATAAAATATGGTCATATTAGAGAAGGAAAGGTAAAATCTCTATTAAACAAGGGATCACCATGATTTGTTGCAAGACCTGCTAGTTATATTTGATAAATATTATGATTTTCTCTCTCTAATATGACCATATCCTGCTGCTTAGCAAGATATATATGGGTACATTAATAAGTTTATTTCAGAAGTCAATTTTTTGAAATTGAGTACATCAGTCATGTGATTATGTATATTAAAGACAACCTAAGATGAGCATCGCATTGAACAATAGTTGAATTATTTCCTTTCTCCCCTTTAGCCCGCCCACACCCAAAAACCCCAGTAGTAGAAAGAATACAAATGTGTGCATTTATAATATACACTCATGTTGTAACTGTGGCACAAGTTGAAAGAACGTACAGATTGTTTTTCTTTAGTGTATCTGTCTGTCACTTCCTGATAGCGTGCCAATGCCTGAAAAGTATTAAGTGAAACAACACTCCCGATAAGTGTCTCAAGAAAAACACAAACTAGTGACTAAAGAAAATAATAACCTTTCTGTATTCTGCTTCAAACTGGCGTAGCTCATTCCTCTTTCTTAAAATCTGAGCTTCAACATCCTTCAGTTTTTGCGTGGTATCTTCATATGATTTTGCACATACTGCCTCAATAGTATAACTAGCAGTCTTAAAGAAGTTATCTCCTAAATAATAGTAAGTTGAATCAGGGTAAGTGTAACTTAAACAATTAAATGAAAAATAGCCCAAGTTGGCAAAAGGGCAATATAACAAAATAAATTATTCAGACCATAAACAGCAAATATGTGAGTGCCAGGCTTTAGTTCCGAGACTTCACAAGGCTGAAGACCTTCCAACCTTTTAAAGAAGGCCCCTTCAGGATCCTTGGCCATTGCTAACTGCACATAGCACTTATGGTAACCACCACTTTACAAACAGCCAACAGCAAAGGAAAATAAACCTAATGGACATAATTTTCATACCGCATTCACAGTTGAATCCATTCTGTACACTTGAAAATGTAAGAAATACATTCCTGCAGATGTCACCTTGCCAGTCTTCTCACTATCTTCCTGTATAGAAAGATAGATGCATATAATATCAACTAATGTACATCCAATTGGGATTTCACATGCATAATCAAAAGTAAACTAGCTGCAGTTTGTGCAATCTACAATCAATTACAAGTAGCTTAAAAATAATTCACATGGTGTATCATAATATTATTCATACAAATAATTCACATGGTTTTATCCAGATGCAGTTACCACTAGTCTAAAGGCGTAACGGCAGTCAAGCCAGTATTTAAATTTGTGGCATCATGCTTTCCAATTTATTTTAAAGAGAAAATCCGAGTACTTTTTCTAATGATCAATGACTATCAACATAATTAACTCTACTAGATAACAGTTGAATAACCAAATAGTCTAAAAACAATAGACTTGAACTCTCAAAGGTTATGTACCTTTCCCACAAGAGCTGGTTTCATTTTGACAAGATTTATATTCTCATTCTCAAGCCTAAATGGTTAATAAGGCTTACCACCTCAACTCACTCAATGATGGTATAGTTGTTTCAATCTATTATCCATTAAACCAACAATTCCAAAAAGTAGGAGGGAGTAAGTGTAGAGCAGTAGAAGCACTAGAACAATGAAAATTACCTGCAATGCCAGACCATAGCCTCCATTCACATCATGTTCAAAGTAGAGCAACTGAAAAATCACCCTTCAATATTTCAATCTAATACCATACAGACCCAGAAGCAAAACCAAAAATGGACAAGGGAATCGTTAATAAAGATATAAGAGAATAAGTGATACCTTGAATTTGCTTTGTGCAGTTGAAGTAACTCTTACTACTATGCCTGACTCAGCTTGCTGTTCGTTTATTGTCACACCAAAAAAATGAGCACATTGCTTGTCTACCTGCAACAAATTGCAACATAAGTGGAACATATACACCACCAAGTACTGTTTTGCTTCATCCATCATGAAGAAAGTAAGAACCTTTCCACTGACTGATGTTCCAATTGGAAGGGGTCTGACTGTAACTGTTCCGTTCAGAGCTTCTTCAAGAACATTAGCTGAAATGGTAGTTTTGATAGGGACACCCAGTTTGCTGTAACAAAATAAAATAAGAAATAAAGCAAAGCAACGTAAAATAATTTTAAAAACAAATAGTTGTGCACTAAAATGTACACCTGAATAAAGCTGCAAACATTGTGTTCACCGTCCCAAGATTAGACAAATCAATCTCCATGTCCATGCTATCAGCATCAAGTGCCTGATATGTATTGGCAGAATATCTTAAAGAATGTTGCATATAAATAGGAGAACTATATCAGGAAGAATATGAACTGAAACGTTTAAAAGCTTTCAAGAGATATAATGACAAATAAATACTACATAAATCAAGACATTTACAATATACCCATAAAAGGAGCAGAGTACTGATGGATCTTAAATTTTTCATATAATCGGCAAGCAATAACAAAGAAGATGGATATATAGATTGAATGCAAAGAAAATAATCTACCAAAATAAATCAAGGAAAACAAGGAAGTCAATACTGAAATATATGACAAAATTCACAACTGGCGTGTATGAAATCCAATTTTGTTTAAACAAATATAATATGTATAGATATGCATTCTACTTGAATTCCAAGTTGCAAACAGGTAATATAAATGTTTTAGCTCCTCTCTCCTGGCATGTAAATGTTGAGTAATAATACAATCTGGCAGGTTCAATCATAGATCGCAGGGAAATTAAGATGTTAAAACATGCTGGTCATGCTCCCCAGAAAAAAAATACAGCTAACTGGGTACGCAACACATTTCTTATCTATTTTGCTACTTTGCGCAGCCAGATAACTTATATTTATCCAATGTCACAAGCAGTATTTTTGTTTTAATGTAGGAAAAATTTGGGAAAAGAAAAAACAGAAAAAGGAGAGGAAACAGGATTGGATTGCGGAAAAGAAAGGGACCTCAAATCCAGCACTGTCATACTGCCTTCTCTTTTCTGGGTCAGACAATATACTATAAGAATACGCAACCTCTTTAAATAGTTCCGAAGCTTCAGGATTGCTGGCATTTTTGTCAGGGTGATACCTGTCAATCGTATAGAGATGTGTAAATGGATCTCATACATGTTTTTCATCATAATTAGCATTCTTAACAAGAAAACAAGTAAACAAACTCCTTGTTTCTACAATAACAAAACCAAAAACTGACATCCGTTCTTGGATATTGGTTTAAATTATGGATAAAACTAAAATGTAGTTCCTTACAGATGTTTTTGGTGTTATTCTACAATCAGAAATGGAGTTTCAAATGTATGCTGATCTTTAATGCAAACTCTGTATTTTTAATATAGCGGGATAGGTGTTATTTGGAACGTCTTTATATAGCTTATATAATATATATACATATACTACGTGCATACAAATTCTCTAAAATGACAAAAGTTACCCAATCCATGACATTCATAATTAACAATAGAAAGTCACTGATGTCTTAAACAAAAACATAAAAGTAAATATAAACAAAAGCCAATACAAGTTTCATACATAAGAAACATCAACCATCATCTTCTAAATCCAAGTTTTCTTTATCATTTTCATCACTATTATAGATGTAAATTTCATTTTTGGAAATTGAAACCCCAAAAATAGCCTTGGAAAAAGCCCTATAGTCACTTTTAAGAGGTTTTTGTGCACAACTCAGATTGTCACCCCAGCTGCAGCCCATTATTTGGTCTGCTACGGCTACTACACTAAAGCACTCCTGCAGAGGCCCCTGTAGTGGCCAGCTTCCGCTATGCTCCTAAAGCATACTATTTAAAACCCTGATGCAAACCTTTATTGAGTAGATAACTAAGGTGAGACTGTCCTTACCAGATTTAATCCTCCTCCCGATCTCCACACCCTAATCCCCTTTTTTATTCAGTGCCATTTGTAACATGAAAGGTTATTACTACTATAGATTAAATAACAATGTTCATCACCTTCAAATGTCATTCCATGTGCTATCTCACTTAAGAAGACATGCTAGCATTTTACATAAGAAAATTTTCAGAGAAACACTCTTTTTCATTGAATAAAATCTCCGAAATTCAACAAGATGAACACAACTCCATTATCAGAGTAAAGTAAATCACTTATAAACAGAACAAAAAACAAAAGATCTAACACACTTAACTTCCAAAACAGACAATACCACATGTTGAACTACCCACAAAACATATTTAGACAGTACTAAAAACATATGAACGGAGACACACAAAACTGAAAAGGGGAATTGAAAAACCAAAAGACAAGATGGAAACGTACTTCAGAGCAAGCTTTCTGTAAGCCGTTTTAATTTCTTGATCGGTTGAATCCCTCGACACGGACAATACCTCGTATGGGTCACGGCGATTAGCTGGGGTAGACGGTCCTTCCATTTTCGAACCCATTCCCATATGCTACCCCTTATCTCTCTTTCTCTTCAAACACCGAGCAGCTCCAAAGGTAATAAAAAAAAAACGATCTTTTTGTGTTTCAGAAACAGTGTAACATATTACTCATCGACCCAACTGCCCCATTATTCGAATGCAAAAGCAATAAGATGTTCCCACCGAAGGAGGACGGCCCGCGATTCAAAGCAGCATTGGATCGGTCATGGATTGGCTTCTTTCCTCGGAATGGGAAAAAGCGGAAAATTTGCGAGGAGGGGATTTGGGATCTAAGCGAAACCGTGAGCGAGGTCAATTTCAAACGAAGGAAATGAAGACAAAGGAAAAGAATGAGATTGGGTTTTGAATTTGCAGGAAGAGAAAGAAACTCGATTGAGTCTCATACGTATGGCTTCTTTGTGATACGTGCCACGAGTTCTTCTTTTTGCTTTTATTTTATTTTATTTTATTTTTTAGTTTAATTGGAAATTGGGAATTAAGAGTGCTCAAGGGTTAATAAAGAATGTCAAACCCCAATTTACATTCGGCAAGTTTTCATTCACCGGTTTTTTAAACTTGTCTTTTTTTTTTATCTAATTATTTAGATGTTTTTTAATGAGATATAAAAAAAAATATTACGGATTGAATATGATTTTGTTTCTCCCGATGAATTTTATCTTTTTATTATTAAGTGCGTAAAAACATTTTTAAAAAACACTATTAAAAATGGACTTATATATATAGTTTTAGTTTCTTTCTTTTACTTAATTTATAATTTTCATTGTTTAATTTAAATATAAATAGTTGATTCTCATAATGTTTGTATTTATAATGTTGAAATTTTTGAGGGATGATGGAGATATTCATTAGTTACAATATAAAGATTAATTGAATTTTTTTATTAAAAATATAAACTAATAATATGTTAATATTTTTAGTAAAAAAACATAATTCACGATCTACCTCTTCATCTTTCAATGTCAACCACAAAGTCAATTTTATTTCTCCATTTAATGTATTTGGTAAAATATTTTTTGATTGGTGTCTTAATGTGTTTGGTTTGACGTTAATTCCTTCTAAACCAATACAATTAATAAGTTTTAAATGAATGTTTCACATATCTGGGTAAAAAAAAAATGCTTAGTCTCACTTGAAGAGTTAATTTTCAATCGACAATTGATTGAATCGATCAAATTTAACTTTTGTGCCCGATAAAACAAATTAAAATTAATTTCTAATACTAAATTGCTTTATATATTTATATAAAAATAGTCAAACATGAATGTTGCATCCCTTGAAAACAACATGATTATTGAGAGGTATTTGTACGTAAATTCTTATTTTTTATGAATTTATTGTTACGTAAGAAGAAAATATTTACGTGTAAATTTTATCTTCATGATAAAAAATTATTTATTAAGGATATAATTTATAGATATAAATGATGTAATCATAATAATAAAAATGAGTCCTTAGCATAAATATTAGTTATGGATATAATAAAGTATTAGTAATTAATTTTCTCACATTTTTTTATTTTTTATACATGTAATCGTAATATTTTTTTAGATTGTGCTTGGCTTTTTTTTTTATTAAAATAATATTATTATATTATATATATATATATATATGTAAGAGAATTTGTCAGTGAATTATTTATTTAAATGGACTTTTTTTTACTGTTGTATTTGGAATTTGGTTTATGAAAACCGAATTCTAACTCTAAACTTATTTTTTTTAAATAAAATATATAATTAAAAATAAAAAAATTATATAATAACAATATTTAAAATAAAATTCAAAATTTAAATAATATTTATATATAAAATAATAAAAATAATATTTTATTTAAATATATTTAAATAATTATTAAAAATATTAAATAATAAATTTTTATTATATTTTTTTATTTTTGAATATTTTTGAATATGAAATTTAAAATTTATATATTTTTTATTATATGAATTATTTAAGTTATAATTTTAGAAAAAAATAGAATAAATAAAAATTAAATTTAGGTAATATATTAAAAAAATTAAATATTATATTATAAAAATTTATGTAATAGTTTTTATTTGATAAATTATAAATATTATATTAAAAAATTCATGCTAAAATTAATTGTTTTTAAATAATAAAGTAAAAATATTATTTAATTAATTAAAAATTATTATTATTAATATAAAATAAACTTAAAAATAAAAAATAATAAAAATTGATATAATTTAATTTTTAATATTAAAAATAACATAATCATTGATAATAAAAATTGAAAAAGAAAATTATTGACAATAATGTTAAGAAAATTTTAATCTCCAAATAGGTGTCCAGTTCCACAACGAGGACGACGTCTATTACGTTTTGAATTTCGTCGGTGTGGTTGTTCTTGAATTTCAGGAGAAATTTGTGGAGGATTTTCTTTTTCATGAACCTCCTGATTTTGGAATGTAGTTGAGGAACTACCTGGTTGGTTAGCATAATCTGGTTGGTAAAGAGAATTGATGTAAGTTTAAGCTGAAGCTGGAGTTGAAAAATCTACTCCAAATAAGTTTGAGAAGATATCCTCTGAGGTTGTTGCAAAAGAATGTCTTCTGTCAATTGTGTTTGGTTCTGACGTCACAAATTGTTGAGGTAAGGAAACAGATTGTTGAGGCTCCTCATACAATGATATGGAAGTTGCATCAGTTTCAAAAGTGGTTTCAGCCCGTGGTTGTTGGCGGGCTCTTGGATCTTTGAGCAATTGTGGTACAGATAGAAAAATAATAGAATTGGCATTGTACCATTGCATGTATTATATTGTGTGAAATAATGTGTCTTGCATTGAATGACCCACTAATGTCAATTGACGTCTATTATTCCATATATCAATCCAGTGAGCATGTTTTGTTATCCAATTTTCATCATGTTTTCCCCTCATATCAATGTTGTGTAGGTCATCCAAATTATTTGGTGGAGAGGGGATTTCTTGGAATAAACCAAATTGTAACTTCACTCTATCAGATTGGTGTCATTCAACAATTGCAAAACAAATTATGGTTGTACATGTAGTCCACAATTGGGCATCCCTAAATGTTTGAACTGGGATTGATCTTTTCAAGTCCTTATATGGGGTCCATAAAAACTTCCACCAAAAAATAATTTTTATTATTAAAACAAACCAAAATAAAAAAAAATGAATTAATAATTTAAAAAGAAGATTTACCTTATCAGTTTGAATGTGATCAAACATAGTTCTATACCCGACAACATCATTGTGAGGTACATTTCTAAAGTTTAACACTTTACCTCCGCTCCATTTGCAGACCAATGAGTATGTTGGTGGAAGTCTAGAAATTGGAGCAATATATGACATGCGATGTCATGCCCAAAATTGTAAAAGTGATCCACAACCACCCATTATTTTGGCATTTACATTCGTTGCTCTACACATTTCCCTGTACAACACAACTAAACAAGCATATCCCCAACTATAACGCCTAGAACTTTTAAGATTAGTTAATAAAGTTAAATACATAAGATGAACCTTATTTCCTGTTTTGTCAGGCATCAAAATACCTCCAATTAAACATAATACATATGCTCTACAATGGGCATGGAGTTGTTCTTCTGATGGTTCTTCTGGGAGTTGTAAAATATTTTCCCTAAGTCACTTTAGCTTGATCATAGAGCCAATTAGTGACTCTCATTTGACTGGCACAGTGCCCAAATATGTTTCACACATTTCGTCCCAATCTAACATTGTTAGGTCAATGATTGGTAATCCATCAACTCTTAACTCAAGTTGAAATGCAACATCCTCTAGCGTTATGGTGCATTCTCCTATTAGAAAATGGAATGTGTGAGTTTCAGGTCTCCACCTTTCTACTAGAGCTGATACCAAAGCATGATTAACCTTTAGATGTCTTAGCTTTGCTACTGGAGCAAAGCCTACTTGTTCTAGTAATGGAACAATTAGAGGGTGAGGTTATGATATTGAGTGACAATATGATGATATAATATTTTCAGTCTCCTGCAATTATTAACGAATTAGGCACAACATTTGTTCATATACAAATAAAGTATAAATAAATAAGGATGATATGTTAAACTTATCGTCCTACCAATGAAGTTAGCTGTGTTCATTTTGCTTTGATAATAACATTTTGGTTGACTGATATTGCAAGTATGTGATAGATTAAACAAAGTCATACCATCTATATTTATAGGAAACCTTAACATTGGTTGGGAGAAGAGAAAGTGTGGTAGTTGTGAAGTGTATCTGACAAGTCACACTCGATTTACGTGCTCCTCAGAATGTATCTTTTTTTGTTGGGAGAAGTGAAAGTGTGAGAGTGATGAGGTGTGCCTGACAAGTCACACTCACTCGATTTACATGCTCCTCAGAAGACATCTTTTTTTGATGGGAGAAGTGAAAGTGTGAGAGTTGTGAAGTGTGTCTGACAAGTCACACTCAATCGATTTACATGTTTCTCAGAAGACATATTTTTTTGCTGGGAGAAGTAAAAGTGTGAGAGTGGTGAAGTGTGTGTGATAAGTCACACTCACTCAATTTACGTGCTTCTAAAAAGACATCTTTTTTTATTGGGAGAAGTGAAAGTGTGAGAGTTGTGAAGTGTGCCTGATAAGTCACACTCAATCAATTTACGTGCTCCTCAGAAGACATCTTTTTTTATTGGGAGAAGTGAAAGTGTGAGAGTGGTGAAGTGTGTCTGACAAATCACACTCACTCGATTTACGTGCTACTCAGAAGACATATTTTTTTGTTAGGAGAAGTGAAAGTGTGAGAGTTGTAAAGTGTGTCTGACAAGTCACACTCAATCTATTTACGTGCTCCTCATAAGGTATCTTTGTTGCTTCCTTACTTACCATTACAAATAGAAGGTATATTTTTGTTCATTTTACATGTTACCATTATCACTTACATTCTCCTTCTTTGGTTGTTTGTTATTTTCACTCTATAAAAATCTTTATACCTTTATTATTTTCAGAGAAATAGGTTCTATATATGTCATTGTTTACTATGATGG